CAACCAAATTAGACATAAAATTCAGAAGATATACATGTAATGCTTTGAAGGATGCATCTTTCATGTCACATGATGCGCCACCTAAAAACTTCATCATCACATGATTTCAATTTTCATCTATAATATTTCTCTTTGTAGCTATATACAAAGTTTCAACCCAATAAAAAACTTGTACTTCAGGAGATATAGGACTTTAAGGGATGCACCTTTAATGTCATGTGACTTGTCACCTTATGACTTCATCACCACAATTGATGTCAATTTTCATCTACAATACTTCCCTTTCTAGCTGTGTGCAAAGTCTCAACCAAATCAGACATGTACTTCAGAAGATATGGAGATTTAAAATTTGCACCTTTAATGTTGTATCACATGACCCCCTGATGACGTAACAATGACAATTTTATTCTGATACCCTTTTTGGCCGATGACTATAAATGCTTCAAAATACAACATCAGTCAGATGGATGAGAGCCTGCATCTATCATGTTTGCAAAACGTACATATTCATGTCACGTGATTTGCATTTGAATTCAAGAATTTTTACAAACTATTAATTCATATTTTTAATCTTCGGTTTATTTGAAATCGAACAAAGACACCAAAAAACATTTCTCTTTTGTTCTCATAGTAATCCTCAGCCGAAGGTGAGAACCACTCAGTCATGAAGAACAATACCGATGAGAAGTAGAAAAACATGTATATAACCAATGGAGGATCACATGTTACTTTACCCCGATGATGTCATTATGATGTTTTTGTTTTGGGACCCTCTCTACATGGTTTGCACCAATATAAAGTCAGTCAAATCGTTAAGAGTGCCAAAGTATGGCTGTTGAAAAATGTGTACAAAACCTGTGTTGATGAGTTAAATATTCAAAATTCAACAATAAATCATCATCATGAAGTCATCATGACAAATTTGTTCCTGGACACTTTCTAGCTGGTTGGCTATGGACCCTAACACCCATTCAGTCAAATCGTGAACAGTGTGGAAGTCTGGCTGTTGAAAAACGTGTACAAACCTATAAGGAAGAATGAAATATTCAAAATTCAATGATAAATTAGATGATGATGTCATTATTACATCCTAAATTTGGCAGCATTCTTTTTTCAGGGTCTTTGTCGGCTGTAACTTTGATGACAATCAACCATCGCAAAGTTACAAAATGGTGGCGTGAAAACATGTACAAGTGTATGAGCTAAAAAATCCTTGTGCAGAAAAACTGCTCCTTTAACTTCATGTCACGTGATCTGTGTTTAAACCCCCCAAAATTTATGAAATATCACTTGATATTTTGACTCTTACGTATATTTCAATTTGTTTTCATAGTAAAATCTTGAGCTGAGGTCGAGGACTACTTGCTCATTAAGATAGATAATAGTGTGGGGTAGAAAAAAGCACAAAACCTATGGGGAAAAACTAAATGTTCAAAATTCAACAATAAATCATGTGATAACGTCATCATGACAAATTTGTTTTTGGACCATCCTTGGATAATGTCAATCAATCATATATATAAAACTACGAAAGTCAACTAGTGGAAGAAGACGTGTACAAACCCTGAGGGGAAAGAGTCTGAAAAAGGAAAAGAAAAACATGAGGACAGAACACAGGGCTTTTTTGCCTTTTTTGTGTTCTGAAGAAAAGTGCCTTGTTGTCATATCATCAATTCTTTGAAATATCCATTACACACTTTAACCCCTCCCACAAAAAAAATGCGCTTCAGGAGACATAGTGCTTTGAAAACTGCACCTTTAATGTCAGATGACAAGTCACGTGATGCCATCATCATGTGAGGGCAACATTTATAATGTAAATCACTTCCCTTTGAAGATATCTGCAAGGTTTCCCTATCAGATGTGTTCTTCAGAAAATACAGATCTTGTAAGAGTGCACCTTTAATGTCATCTGACTTGTCTTCTGATGACATCATCGTCCCATCAGGTTTGACACCAATCAGACAGGTACTTCACAAGATCTACTGCTTCGACAAGTGCACTTTCAATGACATATGACATGGTCATCTGATGATGTCATCATCTCATGAGGTCAATTTCATCTACAACACTCCCCTTTCTAAATATCTGGCAAATTTCAACCCAATCGGACAGGACCTTTGGGAGATATGGTGTTTGAAAGGATGCACAAGTTTGAGGGTAATATTCAATTTATAAGTCCGGCAGGTTACGAGCAGTCTTTATTTAATTTTGGATAGGCCTTGGCAGCAGCAGACCAGTCTTTATTTCCACTCGGCAGTTGCTAGTAATTTTGGTCCAAAGGTTAAAACAATAGCCTTCACTAAACATGTACTTATGTCACCATTGCAGAAATAAGTGTGACCCAGACACCCTGCTGTGCTCCATTTGTTTCATTGTTACATGTAGTTGTCAACACTAATTGTCGTAGTTGTATGGTGCCCCATATAGGACACATCATTCCTTATAAGTTGAGATTACACACAACACAATTTGCTTGAATTAGTTCAAGCACTTTGGTCATCTTACTTCAAATAAGATTGTCACATTCCAGTGTAGAATTTAGGTAACTAAAAAACAATGACCGGTGAGTCTGATGGTCTCATTGACTTAAACAGCTCCCGGTTTAGACTTGACCTGTGTTTATATGTACATGTATTACATTCTTCAAGGCACACTGTGAGAATCAAACATGAAAGACTACAAGTAAGAAGCCAAAACATTGTTCTGTGTCTTTTATTATTGTAAAGGTACTGGACTTTCACACATAAACTAGCCCAAACAACAATATGCTGTATTCCATATTCCATGCATCCTAAATGAATAATTATTAACTCATTTCAATTGCAAAGTGGCACTTTCTTTCAAGTTGTGTATTGATTAAGTGGGAGCACATTAACAGACGAGGTGCCATTTTATTATGCATGTGTTTCTTATTCTTCATTTTTCTGCTATCTCTTCCACGACAAATCCACAATGTTTTCTTCTTTTTCTGGAAAGATTTGTTGCCATTAATTTCTGCACATACATAATGGAACCAGTGGCTGCAACTGTCAATCAATACTACTATCCTCCACGTTAGTAAGTTGGCTATTACACTCATCTCTGCCAATGCCACAAGGACACATGTAATCTTTCTTCAAACTTGAAAAGTTACTTGTAATCTTGTCTAACAGATTCCAAGACCCTTTTCAGTGCTTGCTCTCTAACAGCCTCTGCAGCAGCCCCTGAGGCAAGTTCTGCCACAATGCCTTTCTCAAAAAACAACTTAAGCTTGGGGTCAAAATCAAAGCCAATATGTTACACAAAATAATTGTCTCTTTGGCTGACCGTCCTAACAACAATATCACACCACTTATAATTGCATGTCCACATCTGGATTTGCACTTGGACATAATAACTGTGTGTGCATTTAAGCCAAATTACACCATTTTCATTCGTCAGAAAGCTTAAGTTTTGGCAAGCTAATTCTTCTGACAATTTTCTGCAACTGTACGGGTTCTTAATTTCTATAAGACCACTTCCACATGGATTGCATGACAAAATGCCATTCGGAGAAGCAGCTACTGTACATAAGGGCATTCCCAATTTATCCAAAGTTGTGTTTCTTTAGATGAAAAGCCTGTGTGTTTATGATGAAGTCGGTGGTGGGCATGTATTGCTTTTCAGCAATATCCTAATTTTGCTGCCCCCAAGTGAGGGCTGCTGACTGGGAACTAGCACAGTAGCCCATTACCTGGACTACTTGTGAATGTCCAGATACTGAGCCATCTCTTACACATCCAATGCAGTTCCCCACGACACTAGCTGTGATTTGTCCTCTGCCCTGTTCTGCCCATAATGACAAGGAAGCTTGTTTATGAGTTTCTTTGGCCAAAACTTCCTGTTGGTGCTTACTTACGGCTAGATGTTTGATCATTTCCTCTGATAAAACAGGTTTTAAAACAGGTAAATTTGAGCCTGACCACTTGGCACATATTCCATTCCCTGAGTTGGTGAAATTTCTAAAATATCTGAAAAAAAATTCATGTATATTCCTGTCTTTAGCAAATAATAAGATATGTCTGTGTTTAGTTCCTTGTTTAAAAAAAAAAACAAAAACACCACAGTAACCTTGTACGCACCAATCCAGGCCTTGAAATGAACGATGGCGGCCATATGACCCAATATCCCAACACCTGAGGCCAGCTTCACATGCTGTATTCCCTGTACTCTACACATTACATACTCACACACATACACAAAAGCTCTGCTCTGGAGTGTTCCAATACTTCAAGCAGTGACACCCCTGCTACACAAATAAATGTCTACATTCGTACAATCACATTCCAGCAGTAGGTACAGTAGATTTTACGTGTGGTATCAATTGACTTTCTCTTTCTCAGAACTTGTATGCGTGGTACATAGATAACATTGAAGTCTGTGTACGAGGCAAATGATAGTCCATAGAACTATACAGATAGCTCTATGTGATAGTCATACTATGCGTGTATGTGTTTTCTCGTGGATTGTCAAAAAGTTTTTGATGAATGGATCTGCCTTTGCCCTGTCAAAGGTCAATAAACACATTTTGTTTTTGACAGCACAGAGTTTTGACAGCTAGACAGCGTACCCAAATAAATCAATCTAGAAATATGGCACCAAAAAATTGGAATTTGTCTTCATTTCTGAAAGTGCCTCAAACCGCTATACAACCAAAATCAACCAAGGAAGAAATCTGGCAAATCATATACTTTCTTTGCTAAGTTACTATGTTCTTAAAATATAAATGTCTGAGTGATGAGATGGCACTTCTTACCTCATCTGAGGAGTCATGATATGTTGGATGTGATTCTAAATTAACCATTTTGTCCACACTGTCTTCTCTACTAAGCTGGGAGTAGCGGTAAGATGGCAAACTGAAAAATCAAAACATAATACAACAAGGGTACTAAGAAGAGTGTTAAACTTCTTTACAAGTTGAATTTCCCACCTGCATGTTCCTACATGTACAAGTAAGTATACATATCTGGATATTTTACTCGACTGATATAATGAATGGAATAATAATAACTTACTCATTTATAAAGCGCAAATTTCATATAGATATGTTCAAATGTGCTTTGCAATGAAGATATTAAGCATGGAACAATGAATACAATGAAACGGGGTTGAGCCGATGGCATACAAGAGCACCTCAGGCAGCCACCATATGACCCTTACATTAGTTAAGATGAGACAATAAAAAGCAGTTACAGTTTCAGAGGTAGGAGGAAAACCCTAGAGGAATAGTCTGGGTAAAACCCATAGAGTCAGGTAGGGACTGAAAACCCAATCCACATGTGGACCGGGCCGGGAATTGAACCCAGACCACAGAGGTGGAAGGCGAGGAAAGAACTACCTTGCCAATCTGACTCCAGTCTTTATTACACTACCACATATGTGACCTGGTACATTGCAATCAGGAATTAGTCACTGACGTTGTTTTACATAATGGCCGAGTAAAGAGGTTATGTGGGTAAATGATGAAAAAATTGATGTGGTGGTTTCTGTATATTTTGGAAGTGTATGTATGAGAGGTTACCATCAACTAACTTGTAATGCGCTCCTTTTGCAAGCTCATGAAATTTTTTTCTGCCCATGTGCATATCTCAATAAGTCAATTTGCGACTTATTTCTGATTTTGATATACCGGGTCACAACTTGAATAAATTTATAACACACCATACATGAATAAATTTGAAAATATACCATACATTAATAAATTTGAAAATCAAAATTAAAATAAGCTCAGAAAAGAATTACACACTCTTCTATCTCCTCAGAAAAATTTTTTTTCAGTAACTTTTAAATTCTTCTTCTATTGACAAATGATAGAAACCTCATTTACCTTGGCTTGGTGCAAGGGAGTTTGCCATGTCTGTACAGCAGGAAAAGAAGTATCCCAGAGAAGAAAGTAACTGCTAGTAGAATCATGACAATGGTTGCTGTCCTCACCTCATGACCATCTTGCTGTTATGTAAAAGAGTTCAAAATATCTTCTTACAGATATGGTACAGATTATTTGCAGGAGATCTGCAGTTACATACATGTCATGTCGGCATGCTAAGTTATAAATTTAGAATCTTTCAATCAAGAATCTTTCACATGTGCAAGTAAGAACAATACATCTGTTTTAGTTGAGGAGATAAAGCTCAGAGAACCTGGTAATTTTGTGACAACAATTGCTTGTAGTTTGATATCTGACGCCGTTATTATATCACAAATCTATATGCATTTGCCATCAACTTTTCATGCTTATTATTTGAAAGATACTGCTTAATAATTTTATTTTTTGGGGGGGGTGGCATTTCGAGTTTGCAGATACATGTAGATGGTAACTCCAAAGGGAAAAGCCGTGCAACTTGGAAAGAACAAAAAAAACCCAAATTTATCAACATGTGATGTGCAAAGTACGAAGCCTTTACTTGGCTGTTTGCTGGAGTTATATATGAACAAATGAAGCCCTTTTCCAGCTTAAATCAATCATAATATGATGCCCAATGATGTCATCATACCATTAAACTTAACAAAGTTACAAATATCTAGGGATTAAGGGTTGTTTGTGAAAAGTTGCAAAGTGTTATCTTGTACCATCTTTTTACCAAGTTTTACACTGTACTATCTTGAAGAAAGTCACAGAGAATTCTGGTTTGGGGGGAAAATGCAAGGTTTTGTGTTTGATGTAATAAACAAGAAGTGATTAGATGGGGCAAGTGTAATTTAATGACAATGTAAATAAAAGAATACTAATAACATATAGAAAAACACAAACGACACTAAAAATAGGAGAACAAATGCAGAAAAATTGTAAAGTGTCACATCCTTACCGTTAACGTTCGACAGAAAATTGATCAAGAAAAACCCAGTCTTATGTAAACCTCTTTAGTTGAAAATCAAAGTTTCATGAAATAATATTTCACAAGAAATTCCACTAAGCTTCTACATTAAAGCACTTTAATGTCAGAAAATCCAACTTGTGTCATTGTTTATTGAAGGAGTTGAAATGGTGTAGCAGAATTATCCCTGATAACTGCCTGGGTCAGTCTCAACCAGCATCTGTGAGTGGTCTAGCCATTAGAGCCCAAAATGCAGATCCATTTTGGTGGAAGTCTACACCCTCACACGCTCTCTCACCATCCACAGGGCTAATAGGCAGAGGGACAAATGGGGAGAGAATGGGGGAAAGCTGGACACAAGTTTCCGCCTACCCTTGGTCTTATTTGCCTACAGATGTACATCAGTGCCTTACCTACATAAGTGATACAGAAATCAATGGGTAATTATAACTCACATAAGTATCTGGCTCCCTTTCAGCAACTACCTGTACTTGAATGGTGCCTACAATAGACTTCACAGAGTGCGAACAATGGGTAAAATGATGGATGGCACCAAGTTCAGTGGGCATTACGCAGAATCCACTCACACTGCCTGTATTTGTTTACACGTGCTCCCAAACTACGTTCACCCTTTTGTTCTTTGGTTCTTTTCTTTTCAAATGTTGCAACTGCATTGTTTTGAATCTACATGGGCCATATTAAATAAATTGACCATTTTTCTCACAATCGGAAAACAGCTTTATGGAATTTTTGGCCTGAAATTCTTCAACTGTGCGTAAATTCCCTATAGAGAGGGGTGAATTTGCCCATAGTTTTTTAATTTGGGCACCATGCAGAATACTCATGTAGTTTTGAACGGGATCTGGTGGTCTAAGCATTTATATGCCTGTTGTGCGTACGCGCCTGGTACGGCATGCAGTTTAATAACACGCGAGAATGGTCAGTGCAACCTCATTCCCCAATATGTGTGTCCAGTGGTGCCCAATTACCAACTTGAACAATCTGCAAGCCCTTTTGTGCACAACATATGGGGCTTGCTACAAAAATTGGATGGAGCACTCTGATTGGCTAAGAATCCAAATTATATGAATACTTATATACAGGGGCAGTTTGATTGATGTATAAAAAGGTCAGTTGAATATTTATTAGCAACAACCACAATTTCATACATTGAGGAGGGTGTTTACACTATTTTGAAAAAGATGATATAACATAAAAGCATTAGTATTTTAACCAAAATGGATGGTTAATAGATTTGGTTTGGCTTGATTTGGAATAGTTATGCATACTTTGTCTTTAAACATTGTATTAAAATGGATATTAATGCAAGATATGAAAGAAACTGGCACTAATCAAATATAGCCATCCCTATATATAAAATGGATGAGTCTGTTATGTAGCATGAGTTACTGTTAGCGCCCTCCATGGATACAGTACAGTTGTTGCAACATGAATATTCATCCAGAATCAGGTTGATCACGTTGTCAGGTGGGCACAGTGGGGTGGTGGGCTGATGTGCATTGGAACTCAGTAATGAACAGCCTATGACCAAGCATCGTATCAAGGCCGAATCGTGGGCAATGGTAAACAGGCTCAGCACTAATTGTAATACGATGCAGCATGCTGGCTCATATCAGTTGTTCTGGACAATGAACATGACTGACTGAAAACTTGATTTCAAGTCTAATTCCCTGACACAAAACTGACTACATGAGCAATAACGGTAGCTCTCGCACTTCCGGAAGCTCTTCTGTCTCATGCGCATACGCGTGTATGTGCTATCAGCAGAATGAGATGTCTAAAGTGAGTGTGATATGCAGATATACTGCCCTGTCATGTGATCATTCTGGGCCAAGGAAGAGACAATATCCAAGAGAGAGAGTATCCAAGAGTGACTTTCAAGCATAAATTATAAATTGTCTCTTAACTCCAAATAAAAGAGCATGGATAACAAAGAATTCACCAGTGTTTCATTTTTTATGCCGTTTGGGCTTAGGATAATACCATCAAAGTGCAAGGGAGAGAAAATAGAAATGCGTCATGTTAAAGACCCTGCTATGTTAGGGTCCAGTTCATGCCTTCAAAATTCCAACGATCTTGTATTTAAAAACAATTTAAAGCTGGATAAAAATCCATGTAAATATAGGTTGACAACATCTTTAACTAACTCACTGTATGTCCGCACATGCACCATGGAGTCAACCAATAAATACACATTGAATTGATGTTGCAAGTACTGGTCAATTGAGTTTTATGCCTCCACTAATCAGCTTCCAGTGATTGCCAGTTCAACTGTTATATCACGCTTTTGCATTTTACAAATGCTCTCAGCACCCATGTTGAATGCATAAAGAAGCTTTGCTATCTTTGCTGACAAAAAAATCAAACCTATCAACTGTTGGGAGAAAAAAGTACCAGTATTCTAGGTCTCAGAAACTGTGCATACAATGACGCACAATACCATGTAAAAAAGCATAGAATCAACCTTTCAGTTCTTACTCATACAGTTTCTAACTTCCATATGAACTCATCACACTCTGATATCCTTCACCAGTGACTTGATGTAAGGTTTGGTAAAATTCTACACAATTGAAACATTATATTCTTAACCATGTTCACTGTAAGTCTTGCCCCAACTTATAACTATTTACATTTGAGGTGCAAGATATGGACAGGCAAAGCTTTGGCAACAAATGGTGTCTTTTTTACATACATGTTGGCAAAGGGGACTTTTAGGGAGTACAGATCTTATTGGTATGGAAAGAATAGGGACACAATGTAATTGAAGAGTAATGGGGACCACTTCTTAGGGTCAAACTAGGACAGTGCATACCATAATGATGCCAGGGGTCAGCATTCAGTGGATTCAGTTAACATACACACAACCTAAATGAGTGACAGAAACAAATGTCAATCAGAGGACTTTATATCTAAGGGTTCTTTCTGAGAGTTTAAAAGTTGTATTGAATTTTCCTTGTTCTCACCTGTTCCACAGACAAATTTGATTCAAGACCATTTGTACACTGCTGCTGTAGATTATCCATACTTCTGACTGGCTGAAAACCTTTTACGCACTTATCTCCAGGAATTTTACGATATCTAAAGAGAACCATATTGAAATGCATATGTCATGTGTTTAATAATATTTGTTTTCGTGCAACAAATCAATACATGAGACCACCTTGTGCACATCTTGGATGCCTCATGGTACATGCTTTGCATGATTTCAATTTGTTTTGAAGATATAAGAAGCAGAAGGTATGTAATGCAAATATGCATGTAGAAAATTAGCCAAGGTTGGATACCAGTCTTCATTTTACATTACAACTGGCGTCCGGTATATCAATCCTTCCATGCAATAATTTTGGCAACAATTTCACATTTTTCTCAGATGGATGAAGATGGAATTTAATACACATGTTCCTTTGTCCGAAATTACTCAATAGCTTGGTTTAGAATGTACATGTACATATATCCTTGGGTGACGTAAAATGTGTCAATTCTATGCTTTTGTCGTAAATATCTAAACAAGCTTTTCGAGTCAAGACTTAACATGCACAACTTAGGCTGGCTCCCTCTGGCATCAAAGATTGCTCAAAAATAATCTTTCTCTGGAAAACTTTTGGTCTGGGAACCAGACAAGCAGTTGCTATGCATTTCAAACATCATTCCCAGTGGCTACTTATTCCAGCTCGGCTTCCATTATGTGTGGGCATAGGCATTGCTTGGCACTCCCTGAGGACAAGGTATGTTATTTCACCACCTGGGTGCATTTACAGTCTTCACACATGTAAAGTTTTCACACATACAACCACACTGCAGAAATCTTGATACATTTAATTTTTCTTAACCTAGCTAAGGAGTAATTCCGCATATAAGGAACGTGTAGACAAACTGTCAGCTACTCCTTCTGGTAAAAGTGAGAAAAAAAATTGTTGCCAACAAAGCAGAATGAACTGATACCCTGAAGAATACTCGCAATGTAGTAAAGATGTTATCTAATCCATGCTAATTAATACATATGTACAAATTGCACAAATCTGTACACTGTACTGGTCTGATAATGTTTTATGATGGAGGTTAGCAGGTGTTTGGGTGTTTTTCCTTGCATTTTGTCCAACTGACACTTGGAATGACTCATTAAAAATTTGAAGGTTGATCTTACCCCCACGTACTGATCTTCTCTTTGACACCATTAATGCAGACATCCAGCTGAGAGGGGTTAACATCAGCACTCACCTCACATTCTTCACTTTCACCTTTGCGACTAAAACCAAAGTCACTGAGGAAAGGAGGAAAAAGTGAGACTAAGGAAATTGTAGAAAGAGGTGGTGTTTAAGTTTCATAAGTTAAAGGCAGAGTTATATGTGTATGTTCCAGGTAATTTATGGGATAAAGGCTAAAGAAAAGTAAAGTATTAAATACTGTCAGGAAACTAAAGGTGCCTCAACCAGGTCCAGAGATCATGCAACAATTTCACTTACAAAATGAATTTGAATGGTCAGAAGCCATCCATGAATACCTACACACTCACATTTCTTGCCTTCCTTTCAAAGAACTCACTACTCTTGAGCCAAAGTGCCTGAAAGTGCAGTTTTTTTGTTCCGAATTATTTACAATGGTTTCAACTTTCCTTCACATTGTTTATGCGTTACTAAGCTGCTGTGTTTTCAAGGTGGGTCAGTTACTTGAGCATATCTGAGTAAGCACAAGAAGCTACAAGTGTCAAATTGAATATGCAAGCTAGTACTGTAAGTCCAGGGGAAGGATTCAAATGCACTGATTCTGCATTATGCAATACCTGAATCAATTCTTGCAATATGATGGATGGATCAGTGACCACATGTCACTGGATCTATCCCTCTCCTTTCTTCCAAACTTCGTTACAGCCCCCCTTGCTACATCTTCCCCTTTCCCCCAGTTTTCTTTCACCCCTGCTACATGTAGTTTGGCGACACTTTTTGTATCACTTTGTTTTATCCTTGGCAACACTGAATTTTTAGTTTTGGGGGCTTTTTTATCCACTGTCGTGCTTTCTTCTTGGTATTTGGTAATATTCACTTTCTATACTGGTCAGTTTGCATCCTATTTTGATATATTTTTAAAGTTGGTTTAATTTAAATCTAGATTTTAAATGTTTGTTTTGCTCTGTCAATTGCTGAACAAAGTATTCTTAATGTTATTTGGCAGAACATGCTTCCAAGTTGACAAACCAAAGTGACCTCATAATGACACAATTACACAATTTATTTCACGATTTTGAACTTTCTGTTTCTTCTGCGAACAATTTTCTGCATTATTTTGGGCAATATCACACTGGACTTTGGCATTTGAGAAAATGTGCCCTTTTCTTTTTATAGACCTTTCTCTTAACAATGAACACCATTTTGTTTGGATTGCCAAAGTTTGTAGTAATTTCAGCCTTGATTGGCAACATCGTTTGACTGAACCTGCACATTTTGCTTTGCAAGTGTTCACATGGGAGGCATTTTCTGATAATATCTAGAACAATCATACATTATTTAGTAGTTTAAACTACTTTTAATAATTTCTGAATTATTTTGTTGGTTTTGTACTTTCGTACTCAGGGATAGCCATATAACCAATGGTTGAAAAACTGCACTTGTGATGTAGACAAGAGAAAGGTCTTGATGATTTCACGAGACAAAAAAGACAGGGCTGTATCTTGGGGAAAGGTTTAACATTACGGTGGTATGGTCATGTGTTATGTGACATCAGCCAATGGTCCCCTCCTCACAGGCCAAGATCTGAGAAATTACATTACTGACTTTGATTACTTTGAATGTAACTATGTTGGAAGGTATAGAAAAATGTTACAGATAAAAATTGTAGTAAGATTCTTCTAACTGGTTGATGTGGCACGCTATATTACTTTTGATATGCACTCTTAAAAAGCCAAATCTGGAGAACTACACAAAGAAATATATCGACTAGCATGCACTATGCTCATGGGCAGCAACTGGGAGCATGCAAGGTATTGCATTACTGTGTGCATGACGGTGCCAAATTCTCACTACATATTCCACCAATATTGTGCTTGTGTATATCTAAACCAATATTCAAACCAATTGTCCAACAGCCACAACCTTACATTTTATATGAAGCCAATAAAGTTGCAACTGGCCATGCAAAATGAATTTGATTGGATGCTGATCATTGGACTGGTACTAGGCAAGTTTGGCAAATCCGGCAAGCTTCCTGGGATATGCAGCACGTCCAGCAACTATTCTATTATTTTGGTGTGGTTGCCTTTTGTTGGACCACAGTTGCAGTGTGTATGCGTTGTAGGGAAATTTGCCTGCTCTTCACGTTGTTTGCAATTCTTGAATAACAAAATGATGTTATCTGTTACAAAAAGATTGATGGAAAAAATTGCCCCTCTGCCCATGAGGGTGTCTAATTTGCATGGTAATTTACAGAGAAAATGTGTGTCATCCTGGGAAAGAACACTGATTGTAAACCAAGTCTCTACTTCGAATATACATGTATGTGACCTGTCACTACAAAATGAGCTGAAAGTCAGAATTTTCAAAAACTGACATACTGGTGTTTTTTAATTCAGCAGAAAAAGAGCTTTCAAGTGGTATGTACATGGAACTCTTGGAGTAGAAGTGTAAGGTGACGATGTGACATTATTCTGGCAGCTTTGCGTCTTTGTTTCTGACATTGGTTCAACATTTCTGACCATGCAGGAATAATGCTGTAATCAAAATTGCTGAGAAAATGACTTTTTGAAATATATGATCCTACATTTGGAATTACACAGAAAATGGGTTAGTCTTTCCAAATGTTTCAAACCGTCGAAAACCGAATTCCACTTCAAAATGACTTTGAACCCTCAAAATATGTAAGAGCGGGATGTGACTTTACACTCATTTTGTCGTGACAAGTCACATATGCCAACACCCCTTATTTGCCAGAAATCTAATTTGATCTTGTATCCTGGAAACTAGGGAACTCCCACTGAACATGCTGTGTTTTTTTCTGTTCTCATATATCTGTCCTTTTGTTGAGCATTTTCCAAACACATCTGCATTTGGTCAGTGAAAAGTGGTCAGAAAGTGTCACATGTCTGGCTGTAAATGTCCTTGGAATTCTAACTTTGAAATAAACTTTGGCGAAACAGTTTAGAAAGCTTTATGCTGAAATCCAAGTTCCTGATGGAGTTTGGGGAGTAGATTCGTTGATTTTATTAAGGCATTTTATACCTTGAAATACAATGGCACACTCATCACAAGCCCTTCCATTTTTCAGTGTGCATTCCTGGTACATGTACCAGTGAGTAAATGTATACATCCGAACCCAAACAAAACTTATATTTGGCCATAAGTTTCAAAACAGTGTCCGAACTGAACCTAAACCGAAACTTCATTTTTGTTTTTGTCTTTATTTTTTAATCTTTAATTTGTTACAAGTCTTAGAGAGTAACTGGCATGCTGCATCTATGCCACTACTTACCACTCATAATCATCCTTGGTACAGAGACAGGGATCAGACACTTTGGCTTTGGGCCGGTGTATATAGTTCAGGTGACACAGAGAATCAGGCTTTACTCTTTCAAATGTTTCATTTAATCCAAGTAGACAACCTTTGTTATTGTTCGACAGATGAGGAACCCATTCAACAAAATCAGCTTCTGTACCTACAGGAAGAGAAAAAATGGGAACCCTCAAAATCAAATTATACAAATATTGTTGCATTCTCTAAATATCAGGCTGGTGGTAGCATGACAAGTATTCATGAGGAAATGGATATTCAGGGTGAACAAATTATTACTTAAGTGGGAGACAAGGACTAGGGTGACAGTCACACTGCACCTGTTGAAATGTTCTCAACTTCATTCCTTTCATTGCTTCATGTCTTATGAACAATGACACAGTGACTAAGCTTAACAATTAAACATGAAGTGGCAAGGTTATCACTTTCTATGGCAGACCAGTGTTGTAGGTCTCTAGACCTGGTCTCGGTTTCGAGACCGTCTTCAGACCTTTTTTTGCAGTCTCGGTCTCGGCCTGTCAAAGTCTCGGTCTTGGGAGGGCCGGTCTCGGTCTCAAAAGCACCAGTCTCGGTCTCAGATGCCATAGTCTCGGGTCTCCCCCTTGAGATCAGTTGAGACCATAACAAAACTAGCATCTAGCTACCACACATGCACGCGGTTGCAAAACACAAAATTACCTCCGCTCAAGTCAAATCTTCAACTCTTCAACCACTGATATAAATACGACTCAGTAATGTTAAGATTTTTGCAATAAACAATGAAATCGATGCTGGAATGAAGAGTAGTCAATGCAGCATGATGTAACCTCGTCCCAAGTTGTTACTTTATTTCCAATCCAGAGTAGCCATGCTGCTTGACACCATGGAGATGAGGTTGTGAGTAGCAGAATGCGCACACAAACTGGTTCCCGTTCCCTATGTAGTCACCTGCTGAACGTAGGACCGGGACGAGAACCAGTATGTGTGTGTGTGCACGCTAAGAATTATATGAATGTGTGAAAGTGTTTTCATTCCATCTTGTAAGTGGTACATCTTTTTTGGATATTTGTTTTTCAGTATTTTGCTTAAAAAAAAGTATAAGGACATTTGTTTTAATGTTCAAATCACATCATTTGGGAACACTCGGGTTGAAAATGATCAGACCAGGGTAAAAGTAAAGCAGTATCACTGATAAAAGAACTGAGACATTCCTTAACAAATATTTGACCTATTTCTGTGTGTGAGGTTATGCTAATGTTTTCATTTTATTTCTTTTGTACTTAATTGTACTGCCATATGTTTGTCCCTATTTGTACCTTTAGGTAAAAACTAAGCATTGGTTTATGCTTGGTCTCGGTCTCGGATGTCTTGGTCTTGGTATCGACCTGCAAAAGTCTCGGTCTCAAAGTCCTGGTCTTGGTCTTGAAGGACTAGGTCTTGGTCTCGGTCTCATATGCCTTGGTCTCGGACATCAAGGTTTTGGATACAACACTGGTTAGGACCATGGGCTCTTCTTGAATGGAAAAGGCACAAGAGTATCACTACTCATAACAATCAGGCTGTGGCAAGTGCAGTCTGCTAAAGTGGCGGAAACACAGCTGGATGGGGCCAGGGGTGTGAGTACAGTGAGCCACACGACTGTTAGAACTAGAATGTGATGATGTGTACAGTGACTAGGTCACGTTCAGACACTGCATCACTGGCTAAAGTGTAGACAGGAAGGACCAGAGCTACTTAGCAGGTGTGCAAGACAGATATCTCTCTCTCAGGCCACAATTGATTCCTAGCAGTGATGGGCAGCTATGAGGCTACAACTACTAGCACATACCAGACCACACTACGTTCAAGCTTGGCTAACTGGATATCGAAATAGCTCATCACACACTCCACGATACTAAACAATATCCACGAATGATGATGAACAGTACTTCACTTATAACCATCTTGCCTGGGAGAGCTTTTCATAGTGCATCATGCTTGGGATTTTGAGTCCCATCAAATGCCTATTTGCTTTATGATCTCGTGCAAATGGGGTTATTTGTGAAACCATCGCACACAGTATATGAACTGCACATCAACTGGTCCACCACACTGCGGCTGGTTTCTCGTCACAGAACAAGACTTCAGTTCGCTGCACAGAGCTGAAATTCTGCCCCATTTATAGAATTCTCAGAGCTTGGACACTGATGAAATATGAACAGTATTGAAGAACTCAACCAGTGGGCATATTCCATTTCAAAGGGGTCAATGACTTTCTGTAAGGTCATTTGCAAGAAACAATTGGTCATGTGTAAAAAGTAGAAGAGCAGAATAACAAATGATATGTACAAGAGTGTAGAGTCAGCTGCCAAAAGTGCTTACATAATTATCTTGAAGAATGACTGACTGTAAACGGCTACAATTTACAATGCAGGGAGCCTTACAACACCCAGCTATGTAGCCATGTGGAGGTTAAATCTGTATCATGCTAAATTAAGCATTAATTAAATAACTAAATTATCTACAATGAAGTCTTGTTTACTGACAGGCAAGAATATTAAAAATGAGACAGTTTTTCAACACTTGCATCTGTGTTTAACAAACTAGTCAGAGATGTGAGATGATAAAGCAATGCAAGTTGTTAGAATTGTATACTTACATTCATTTTTAAGTACGGCACTGAAGTCAATGGTAACAATCCTCCATCTTCTGTCTTCCACTCCAAATCCCCAAATGCTCACATTTAGAGAGTTTGTGCTAGGCTCTGGTAATAGTCCTGTGATGCTGAATGGTTCTTTAATAAATTGATATTCATTCCAACAGTGACCTTCGTCATATGAGAACCTGTCCAAATATGTAAAATCAAACAATGACATTAAATATATGTAAAAATGACCATATGGTTTATTTGAGGACTTGGAGTTGGATTCAAATTTCTGATGGACTCTTCAGATTTGGGCTGGGACCCGAACTGGTAGGACTTGGACTCAGAAGTCGTGGACTAAACAACACTGACCAAAAAACAACAAAAATCAATACCCCATTCAATACAATATAGGCAATGTTCTTGCAATGCAAAGTATGGAACTGATGAGTATTTTGTTATTCAACACACGTCTATTTCTAATAAGTGACTGAACAGTGTTCTTACTTTATGATATTAGTAACATCCTGTTCTGCAGATATGGCCAGCAAAAGACCTCCATTATTTGTTAAAGTGTAGTGATGGGGACCAGCTAAGGCTTTAGTCCAGTTGTAACCACCATCATTGGAAACAAAAACATCCGGAGGATGTGTTTCCAAGGCATCAGCAACATTTCCTATAAAAAAAGGAGTCATTGTAACCATTGTAAGTGCAAAAACGTGTCAACATTATTTCAAGTAAGCTAGAGTACAGCATACATAAGTTGCACCTCACACCTGTGAAAAATTTCCCCAACTGCAAAATGATTCCATCTTATACATACCAGTTTCAGTTTTATTGTAACATGATTAAGAAGCCAGCAATTGTTAGGTTAAAATTAAAAATTTAACCTCTTTACCAGTCTCACTGAATGTGTCCTTTGCAATTTGACTTATGATAATTAAATGATACCTAATTTACATCTAAAACATATTACATGTACATGGCCAGATGTAATACTGGCCAGATGTAAAAGTACAACTGGGCACAACCCTATGTCACAGCATTCCTCTATGATAAGCAATTCTTTTCCTGCTTACCACAACATAAAAATCAACTTTCACTTGCAACTGTGCAAAAATTACTTTACAAGGTCAAACTGTTCAGAATCCCTAGACAGTATATTCAAAAACCATATCAACAAACTGAATGCAAGCACTTAAGAACAGCAATGCAAGGTATAAAGCTCTCATATCAAACGTTTCATATCAGTCAGTGTATACAGATGCATACATCACCCCTGCTAAGGAAATCCTCTTTCATGAACTAACACGGCAATTTCTCCAAAATAAAAGAATAAAAGAATACACCTTCAGACCTCTGAACAAAGTACTCTAGAAAGAGATACACACACTCTCAGTGATGGAGGATGTATAATACCCCCTGCATTGTCCAAAACAAACAAAGGTATTCTCTAAGTTTGATCTTAAGTCAGGATACCTTCACTGTGAGCTGAGTGAGGGAAGCAGCTTTCTCACTACAATGAATACACTATTTGGAATGCCTTGACCAAGACTAGGGTGGTTGCAAAGTCGGAGTTCCTTGCTGTCCTTTTTCTTGGACACAGCCAGTCTTCTGCACCACTTGGGAGGTTGGTTAACTTTAGCAAGGATGTCTTGTTCCACCAGCCACTGGAATTACTTTTGCTAAACACTACTTTGGGTGTCACACCGTCCATCTGTGTCACTAATGTTACTACCCCTGGTAGCTTTCCAGGTTTCTCACAGTCAAAGACATCTTCGTAGACCCTTAAGATCTCTTCTTCCATTGTATGGATGCTCTGGAAGTTGTCGCAGTGGACCGTGATCAGTTTCATTTGCTCTGCAGCTTTTCTGCTGAGAAGTGGGGTGAGCCTTCCTTCTTGTACCACAATGAAATTCACATGATATTTCTTGTTGGTCTTCATGTTCCGAAGTAAAATTTTGGCTCTTCCTTCTGCTTGCACCTTTGATCCACTGTACATCTTCTACTGGATCTGTTCATCATGTATGACTTCCTGAGGTGCTTTGGAATCACTTTCACGCTGGCTCCAAAGTCTGGAACTTGACTACTATTGGGCCCACTTACATCTCTGCAAATAAGCCTGTAGGGGTGCTTGTCCCTGTTGCATAAACTTTGATGCAGCTAACAGATTCTGTTTCTAAGTCTGTGTGGATGTCGGATGACTCCTCATCTTTGTGTAAACCCTTCTTCTGTCTACAGTCTTTTCTCTGTTGGAAGCAGCATGAGAAGTGGTTCTATTTTCTGCACTTTTTGCATTCTTTTCCATACGCCTAACAGGGCCTCTGCTCTTTCGGGCGCCCTGCTCTTCACCTTTCTTTTTTGTCTATTTTGCCAATTTCATTAATGTTTGGATCATCTCCCATTGCATGTAGCTGAGTCACAGTCATCTCTGCTGATCGACAAATGTCTATGGCATCTGTTAACTTCAACTTCCTCTTATGCAAGAGGGTTTTCTTTGTGGCTTGATCAGATATCCCAAGGATGATGCGATCTCTGATTAGGCTTTCTCATAGGAAGTCACATAAATTACAAGTTTTCTCCAATCACTTCAGTTCAGCAAACACAAGCATCAATGTTTTCATTTGTTTTCTAGTCTCGCTTGTTGAAGACAAATTTTTCTTATGATTCGTCGGTTTCGCCAATGATGACTGTTGACATTTTTTTGTGATCAGACCAACATCAAACTCATCTTCATTACTTTCAAAGGACAGAGTGTTGAAGATTCTCAGTCCCTCTGGTCCGACTGTGTCGAAGAATACTGCTGCTCTCTGTTACTGTTTGCCCTTCTTATTGAGCTCTGTGATCACTTCATAGTTCTCATACACCTGCTTGAAAGTCTTCCACTCATCTACTCAATCATCTTTCAGCTTTAGAGGAGGGGAGGAGTCAAGGGGAAGGGGGGCTGTCCCTGAGCCATTGCTACACATGAGGTACACACTAATACTTTATCAATCTTGGTTCAGACAATTTCAATCCTAACAAAAAATGCAAACGTTGATTAACTGCTCAGTGGTAGGGACTGGCACTGGTAGCTGAGGATTGTTGCAGAGATTCCAGATACTTTCACTTACCATGTGCCAAAATAAGTCCAACAGCATTTTGCTGGCTGAGTGGGCTGGATGGAACATTCAACCCTTCGGTCTGGCTGTAACGATTGTGTATCTGCAGATTGCATGACTAAAAAACAAAAACAGCCAAATTACGAAAACCCAATCATAATTTTCAGCCTGACATTAATACGTTTTAACGAATTAGTAATTTGAAATAACTATTGCTAATCCGAAATAATGAATTACTAATCCAAGATAACAAATTGCTTGAGCCTCCAGATGGCGCTGTTTTGCATTGATTCCCATGTGATTTGAGGCATTCATGCTTCATACGTCTGAGGGTACACCCCTAAAAATAAATTCCAATAGACACCAATGATAAATCCTTTTATTAAATTATTTTAAAAATACAAGCCTCATAGGCGTCCAAGCTGGACAGCAGAATAATGTTCTAAATAAATTTTTAGTGGTTTGAGTTTGAATTTGAGAAATTCTCACCCCAATCAGACCACCCCTAAAATGAAGGAAATTTCACTGCCCGGAAAAGCAGCCATTTTAAAAATGCAAAATGGCTAAATAATGCCACTTTCAGACCCGATTGCGTCCAAATTGCTGATAATTGTAAGCCCTGAGTACGGGTCAGAGGATCAGTGCCATATTTTTTCAATTCCCCAATCCCTAAACATAGAATATTTAAGTGTATAACTTTTTATTTTAGAAATTTGTTAAAATGAATTGGCCATTTGTTGTTTAA